TGGCCTGTGATTTTCCTGTACTTGGTGTCATTGCATGTGTTGTGTGAGTCTGAAGAGGAATTTACAGACTGGTATTGGACATATGGGCTAATATTGGACTTATAGACTTGATCTGGACTGGGCTGGGATGTTTTCTTAATGTACAATTACTTTATATAAAGCTCTTTCCTATATGCATATGAGTGTCTATGAATTTGTTTCTCTAATCTACCCAGACTAACACAACATCATCACAATCAGTTCTAATTCTCCCTTCCCCGACCCAATTTCATTGTTGTGCTCTCCAAATCCCTTCACCCTCCACCCCCACGATCCCAATAAACCATTGCATCATTTATTGTCTTTATACATCCAGCCCTTTTTTGCTTCACGAACTGGCAGAACTGGGAAACTCAACAGAAACAATAAGAAAGAAAACCAAAATGGCAATAAGAAAATAACATAAGATACAAATAAAGAGTAAGAAAGAAAAAGCCACCATCAATATTTAAAAAGCCCGAGACGAAATTTCTGTTGTGGAACAAGTGGAAAACGCTTGAGTCTAGAGCAAATTCAGGTTGGGTCAAGAGGAAGGTCAACTAATAAAGTATCTTATTATACCATGGTTCAATCCACCATAATCAAGTTTACAATAATCTCTGTCTGATAGTGAAACTGTTAACTAGAGGAGATCTGCCAGAGGCTTAATCTGACTAGATAGTATGAAGATGGATTTTGGGTTCCCATTGCCCTCCATAGCCTTCCTCAAATTGGGTGTTTACCATTTAAACTCTGATACTTCTCCTTTCATCATATTTGGATTTTTTATTGTTATCTTTGGGTCTCACAGGCTGGTGTGCTTCGAAAGTTGACAGCTCACTGAGATGGCTGCTTGAATACAATCCTCTAAGATGCCCAGATACTATCTCAATTGATAGCTAGGCACCATCTGCTTTCTTCACACTTTGCTTCCATAACTTCAGTGATTTCTTCATGAAGGCAACAATGGTACAGGGCTATGTTATAAGAACTAGCCATTCGCTTTTACGTCCGGATTTGGTAGCTAGATAGTAGGTGGCAGGAACAATGGCAGTGTCTGATTATCATATCGAAACTATGGTGTGGAGATACCAAGATGCAAAAGAAAATGCCAAAGCCTCAGGAAAAGTATTTGCCAGAAAAATGCTTATTTAAAACCTGATCATCTTAGTGAGGTCGCTGTCTAGCCATTGAACGAAAAGAGGGCTGTTTCTGGGATGTTGCTAACCGAGGAATTAACTGAATAGTACAAGAGGTTTCTTGTGAAAAGCTGGTGGTGTAAAGCTCAAGAAAAAAAAGCTTTTAGAACAACATCAAATTTTTTTTTGGCTAGGTGTTACAAACCCTGTTATTTTACGTGGTCATGTCATACCACCTGAAGCCACAAGCTATCATCAAATAGGTTTGGGTTTTTTTTCCGTATGCATGATTTTTCATGATCTGGATTTTAAATGTGCATTGTGATTGTAGACTTGATTATTTAGAGGTGTAATATATACCTGTA